TAATATTTTAACATAATTTGTTTCATTTTGATCGTAAAATTAAAGCTTTTTATGATTTAGTATTTTTGTATTATATAATTGAGTTTATTAATTGGTTTGAAAAAATGGTTAATAATAAACAGGCATATTAAACCAAAATAAATTTTGACAATAATATTTTGTATGATATATATTTATTCATTATACTTATTTACAGTTAATAATATCCATTATTAGTTTGAAAATTATTAATATAATTAAATTTTTACCCAATTAATTCATAAAATTTTTCTTACTAAAATTAATGTAATAAGCTTATAATTGTGTCCCACATAATTTGATATGACAAACAGATTTAAACATCGGCATTATGAATCTGACAAAATAATTAAAATAAATGATATTTATACATTTGCCTTGCTTGTTTAGAATGAAAATAAAACTCAAATTATATAATTATAATAAAAATATCTATTTTATTTCAATATTAAAATAATTTCCAAAAAATAGAACATAAACTGTAAATATATTTAATAGTTAAATTAATTATATAATCTATTATAGTAGTAAATATAATACGGGAAATATGGTCTCTAGGATTTTATATATCAAAATTTAAGTTAGTATCTGTATCTGTAAAAGCAACGACTAAAGGGTCCGGGCCCGGAATACATTTTTTCTATGTACGGCAATACCAGTATTTTGACGGTCAATCGGTCGACCCAAATGCCGATCAAAGTGGGCCCGGATGACACGGGCCCACCACTTTTCCGTTATTTTTCACATTTTTACGGAAAATTTTTTAATTGTTTTTTCTGTAAATTACACCTCCCTTAATTCAATTAAATTAATTTTTCATAAAATTAATTAATTTTTAACTAAATTTTTTGATAAAAAATTTTCCGTAAAAATGTGAAAAATGACGGAAAAGTGGTGGGCCCGTGTCATCCGGGCCCACTATGGTCGGCATTTGGGTCGACCGATCGACCGTCAAAATATTGGTATTGCCGTACATAGAAAAAATGTTTTCCGGCCCCGGACCCTTTAGTCGTTGCCATCTGTAAATTACTATAAAACAAAACATTTTTGTCTGTAAAGTACAATTTATAATTATATTTGGAAAATTTTTTATTACAGTTAAATATTATACTTTAAAATATTTAATAATTTTAAATATAGGTTTAATTTTTAATATTTTATATGTTAATCTAGTGCAAAAGTTAGTTGTACATCATTGCGTATAATTTTAAAAAACCCTAACAGAAAACATAATGTTTATTTGTAATGCATTTTATGAAATTTTTAAAAATTTTTGTGACAAATAAATAAAATTAAGTTTGTTAACAACGGGCGTAGAAATGGTGCTCCATAAAGTTATATGTAATAAATGGCACAGGCTGAAGGGCAAGGGTAAGTGGGCAAGGGCAAGCGCTTGCCCTTGCCCACAAAAATGGGCAAGTGAATGTGCTTGCCCACCAAAAATGGGCAAGTGAATGTGCTTGCCCACCAAAAATGGGCAAGTGAATGTGCTTGCCCACCAAAAATGGGCAAGAGATAGTGCTTGCCCAACAAAATAAAAATATTTTCCGTGAAATTGTAAAATGTCACGGAAACATTGTTGGGCCAGCCATTATCTTGCCAAAATTTGATCGGCATTTGGACCGATGTAAGACCGCATAGCTAGTATTTTTGTCAATGTGTGGGAATGGTCAAGCCTTGCCCTTGCCCACTTTTGGTGGGCAAGCACTATCTCTTGCCCACTTTTGGTAGGCAAGCACTATCTCTTGCCCATTTTTGGTAGGCAAGCACTATCTCTTGCCCACTTTTGGTAGGCAAGCACTATCACTTGCCCATTTTTGGTGGGCAAGGGCAAGCGCTTGCCCTTGCCCACTTGCCCTTGCCCTTCAGCCTGTGCCGTAATAAATTTCAACAATGTTTACCAAGTTAATATACATTTAATAACAGTTTGTGAATTAACAATTTGTTTGGACATACACATAAATGAAGCAAACATTAAATTAGCACAGTTTTGTCCATAGTTTGCTCTACATTTTATAATTTTATTTATTATTATAATTATTAATTCATACAATTGCTAGGTATTCGGATATGTTAGTGTAATTAATCATATTTAAATTGTCACGTTATTTAAAATAAGACGGGTAATTGTAAATGATACCGCCATCGATGACCAAATTGGCCCCGGTGATATACTTGGCATCAGATGATGATAAAAACACAGCCCCTTTGGCCACATCCAAGGGTACACCCAAATGACCCAACGGTGCCTTTTCTCCATCAGCGCCAACACTGGGTTACCGAGATTTGTACCGTCGGGTGTAATCGCACCAACACTATTATCATGGTGATTATTAATAAAACATTAAATACTATAAGTTTTTATAATTTGTTATATCAATGTTTAATTACTTGATAGTATTCACTCGCACTCCCTTTGCGCCCAACTCGAGAGCTAAATTTTTTAACCATATGTTGAACGCCAGCTTTGGCGGTACTATAGGCAAGTTCTACAGCAACCTAGGTAATAATTTTTACTTATTATTAATTAAATACGATTAGACAATATGTGTATTATATACCGGTGCGACGCCGGCAATGGTGGCGACAACAGTGGCGGAACCCCTGGCCTTCTCGAGCAAAAGGTAGGTCAGGTGAAAGAGCTCAGCGGTGGCCCTAAGATCGGCCCGCAATGTCTGGTCCCACACATCCATAAGGTTTGGGTCCGTAATGTTCAACAGGGGATAACTGTTGGCAAATGTGATCATTGCGTCTAATTGACCGAATTTGTCCACAATTTCGCCCACCAGTCGCTCGATGTCTCTGGTTTTGGTCAAATCGGCCACAACTCGTAACGGCTGTAATTAATTAATAAACATAGTATTACAATATATGCAATTCTGTAAAAGCAATATCAATGGTTCCAGTTCCAAAGGCGTATTTTATATTTAACAAGTTAATTTAACATGTTTTTTACTTGGTTGCTATGTGTTGGCGATTGTTGTGGTGCCATGTGTGCTATACCACTAGATCAATATGAGGGTATATATTGTATATTAATATTTTTAATTTTTTAAATGTTAATAAATAATAATACCTATCAAAACAATATATTTAATTACAACATAATTTGGTTTATTATTGTAGTAAAATCAAAACTTTTCGATTGTATATTAGATGTTTTCACTAATGAATATATATAAATAGTTTACAAAAATTTAAATAATAATCTAATGTCTAATGTGGAAATGTTCAATAATTTTAATTTGTATTAATCAAAATTTGGTTTTCTAATGTAATATTTATTATAATTGGAATTCAATAATTTATCTATCTAAGAACTTATCTAAGAATTTATCTAATTTATCTTATGACTAATGTGAAAATTTTTAATAATTTTGTCAATATTTTATAAGTCTTTTTGGGACTTGCCATATATAATTTGTATAATTTATATTTTTTCATAAAATAAATTTACAGTTTTTTAAACATTATAAATGTTAATTAAATGTTTAACTAATTTATTAAGTTTTTTATTAAAATAAATGCACTAATTAGTAAGAATAAAGGATATAAGAATTTTTTAAGGATATAATTCTGGCCCACATAATTTCATATGACAAACAGATTTAAAAATCAGCATGGTTATTTTGACTAATTTATTAGGACAACAAATATTTATCAATTTGCCTTAATAGTTTTAAATGCAAATTAAATACTAATTATATTTCAATATTGAAATAATGTTCAAAAAATAAAATATAAACTGCAAATTTATCCAATATTTGAATTAATCATATAAACTATTATGATATTAAATATTAGTCGGGATATATAAGCATTGGGCTAGAATTATATTTTTTATATCAGAATATAACTTACAAGTTAGTATAGAGTATGACTAAACCGCCTCGGTCGGAAACCGCCTCGGTCACAATGATCCACTATATTTTCCACTAATTTGCAAATATTATAACTTTTAAATATACACATTTATTTGATTTTGTAATAGTACATTTATATTTGTAATAAAAATTGTAAAATAAAAATATTTAAAAATTTTATTAAATTAAAAATTTAGATTAAAATTTTTTTTTATACAAATATAAATGTATTATTACAAAATCAAATAAATGTGTATATTTAAACATTTTAATATTTGCAAATTAGTAAAAAATATAGTGGATCATTGTGACCGAGGCGGTTTCCGACCGAGGCGGTTTAGTCATACTCGTTAGTATATTTGAAAATTATTATAAAGCAAAAAACATTCTTGAATATGTAATTATACTTGCAGTCAACTCTTAATATTAGATACAATTAAAATAGTATTTTAATATGTTACAATTCAATGCAGTAAAATATGAATTGTATTTCATTGAGTACAATTTTAGAAATACCCTAACAGGATACATAAGACATTGTTATCCTTGTATATATTTTGTAATTTACATAATTAATATTTAACATAATTTGTTTTATTATTGTGGTAAAATCAAAATTCTATGATTTAGTATTATATTGAATATATTAAATAATTTACAAAAATTTAAATAATAATCTAATGTTTAATGTCGACATTTTAAATAATTTTTTTAATATTTTATAAAATTTAAAGCGTGGAATCTTTGCCATTTATAATCTGTTTCTAATAATTTGTATAATTTTTATTTATTTTCATAATATATTTACAGTTTATTCTTAAAAATATTAATATAATTAAAAGTATAACTAATTTATTCATAAGTTTTTTCAATAAGAATAAATTTTTTACAGATATAATATCACAATATTGAAATTAATTCTAAATAATATAATATAGACTGTAAGATTATAATTATATTTTGCTATATCAAAATTTAAGTTAGTTCATCTGTTATTTACTGGAAAGCAAAATACATTCTTGCATATATAATTAATAAATAATTATTAATTATGCTTGCTAATAACTATTAATACAATTAAAATAGTATGCTTATTTTAATATTTTACAACTTATTGCAGTACACAATTAGATATACATCATTGCGTATAATTTTAGAAATGCTCTAACCGAAAACATAATACAAAATAATTAATTATAATTAATTAATCAATCAAAAAGTTCACCGCAGATGTTGAACATGATACTTTTAATGATTCTAATTATAACCTTTCTCATATAGTGCATATTCTATCAAATATATATGCTAAATACATGATAAAAATCCTAACAACTCAATTGAGTTTGAAAATCAAATCAAACCTAAAAAACTAACATTATGCTTTTTTAAACACTATTAACCGTATTGACAATTTGCACCGGCATGTGCGCAGCATGGACAAAATATGACTACCCCGTTGAAGTCTACCTGGAATCGGCACAAAATGGCAAAAACTTTACCGGTAAAGTAGTGATGGTGACCGGCTCGAGGGTATAATAATGAACACAATTAATTGACCTTTTGATGTATGGCAAATAATTTGTATATATCGAAAGTTTATTGTTTTAAGAAATAATTTTGACAAATCAACAGTAAATACAATTTCGATTGTTTGAAGTAAAGCAAAAATATATTTAAATTAAATTAAATTATCATGATAATTGTGATCAACATGTGCAAACATTTACAATTACTCCATATAGTAATTGCATAGTAATTGGTGCATAGTATATGGTACACATTAAAAACAATCTTATTATTATTTAATATTAAAATTATAACATACATGTATATTATGCTTTACAGCAACAAAATGTAAACTGTAAGTGGTCGGTTCCTAAATACTATTATATTTAATATAAAATGTTATACTTTATTTTATATTATTACAATATAACAGTTTATATAAATTAATCTCTCTCTCTCTCTCTCTCTCTAACTCTCTAACTCTCTAACTCTCTCTCTCTCTCTAATAACTACCGTATTATTAATACCTAATACTCTGCGGAATTGTGTGAAAAATACATATTTTTCTTATTAACTTAATTTATAAAAATTTTATAGCCAGAGAGAGAGAGAGAGAGAGAATTTAAGCGTTTGATTCCTGGTTTTGATAAGCAATCTCTGAATTCTCTCTCACTTTATATTTTTCTCCCCAAAAATGTGTGGATTTTGTAACAAATCTTTATATATATTTTGTGTGTTTTCTTATATGAGTCTATTTCTGACATTTTTAAGTTAGAAAACTATATAAAAAACTTTATTTTGTTTTATTAATCACAACACATAATATACGATAGAAATACTGCATTAAAAGCTATATAAAAGCCATTAAATGTTCAGCTCATCAGTGAATATAATTTATATGTTGTGTTTTTATACATACACTATACGTACGGATAGTGTATTTATATGGAGAGAAAAATATAACATAATAAAAACACATCGTGATTAGTTTATTGTATGGTTTTTGTAAGTGCAATGGTCTGTTCGGGGAGGCACAGGTAGGTTACGCTTCCGACATACCGGTGCTCAATGCGGATCACATCGCACATGATCTTAAACCATATATAAAGTTTATATAACTTTATACAAAATTTAAAAATATTTTATTATGATGAAAAAGCACATCTCGGTGTATTTTATCGCTGTTTGCATTACATAAGTGATGTCTATATCATATCAAAAATAGATTATAATATTTTTTTATAAAACATTTCATAAATAGCTTTTGACTTATGGTCGGAAAAAAGTACTGAAAAAATCATAAATTCTTTTAAAAATATAATTTTTTAGATGAGAGGCACCACAATATTGGGTACATGTATACCATGGATGTTAGTCTACCTGTGCTCCGACACGCCCACCAATTGGCTCAGACAAACATATCTACTGATAGTGACTGATAGGGGGAACGGGAGGGGGTATAATCAGATATAGGGGGCACTTATTATATACTCTCTTATATGTAATAATCAAAAATGCATTTTTTGTTAGTTTGAAAGACAGACACTTTGTTTTCCGACTAAATCTCTTATAACTAATAATATATGGAGAGAGAAATGCATTGAAAATATACTCAACTTTTCGGTAGCTATAGTTTTTAAATCATTTTTTATAATCTCTCTCTCTCTCTCTCTCTCTCTCTCTCTCTCTCTCGACTCTCTTTCTGAGAACCGATACAATGATTATGAGATATATTGCATAAGAGTGGGGGCCGTTAGGACAGGGGGACAGCCATTACATACCTGTCGGGGGTTAATTAAGTTAATAATCGCAGACAAACATCTCTCTTCTCTCTCTCTCCCTCTCTCTCTCCCTCTCTCTCAGCAATCAATAATAACTACGAAAAATATATTATAACAAAAAATATTAATAAATTGTTCATAATATAATTTAGCAAACAAATTAAAACGTGAACTTCAAAAATGAATTGAAAAATACATGTATTTTTGACATCTCTTTTATGCATTTCTTCGGCTCTCTCTCTCTCTCTCTCTCTCTGGCTATAAAATTGTAATAAATTAAGTTAATAAGAAAAATATGTATTTTTCACACTATTCCGCAGAGTATTAGGTAATAATAATACGGTAGTTATTAATTACAATAATATGTTTTTTGCTCTGAAATATAAAAATGTTGTGGTTTTGTTTGTCGGAGAAGTTTATAATCAAAACATTATATAAATCAACGCAAAAATTATATTATAAACGGATTATTAATATTTTTCGTTATAATATATTTTTCGTATTTATTATTGATTGCTAAGAGAGAGAGAGAGAGAGAGAGAGAGAGAGAGCCGAAGAAATGCATAAAAGAGATGTCAAAAATACATGTATTTTTCAATACATTTTTGAAGTTCACGTTTTAATTTGTTTGCTATTTTCGTTGTGCCGTTCATTAGAGGTTGAGAAATATGTTTGCGTTAAAAATTAACTTTTTATTTATTATGATTTCTATTTAAATAACTTCATGTAATGAATGTGTTTTGCAATAAATCTTTTTGTATTTTAAGGCCTGTTATAAGCCATTGAATGGTAGATTGAGTTAATCATAATCTCACAAAACTTATGTTTGCAATGTTTGCTGATTTTTTTACTGCAAATCTCTCTCTCTCTCTCTCTCTCTCTCTCTCTCTCTCGACAAAAGGTCTTAAAATAGTATAATTTTATGAAAATTTTCTTTAACTGAAGTCTTTGAATAAAATTCAAGAGAAGAAAAAACAAAATTATTGCAAAAACTTCTCATAAATATATCAATAGAGAAATGGTATTGAAAAGAGTCGGTGACACCCGTCGAGAGAGAGAGAGAGAGAGAGAGAGAGAACGGACTTCCCTAACCATAAGGTTTTAAAGAAGTTTAGTTCAAATAAATTCAATACATTTCTACAAAATAAACTATTTTAAAATATACTAGACTTTGAAAAAGTAACAAATTTTGTATATATTTTTGATAAATAGTATACTTTTATATAATGAACACACTTTTAGTTATGTTTCTCTCGGTGTTCAGTATTGAGACTCAATATATTCAGTATATTTTATGTCCCATCGATCGCAACGATTGATATGAAGTATTGGTCTATGTTTTGTATGTCTTATACAGTATACTGTTTATTATATAATTTTAAAATGTTTTGTTAAGAGAGAGAGAGAGAGAGAGAGAGAGAGAGACTGTCGAAGGTGTTGTTCCCGACGTTAATTGCCTGTTGTTTTTAAAGTTATCTAATCGGCCAATAATGTTAGGCGCCTCAATAATTATACTATTTTAAGACCTTTTGTCGAGAGAGAGAGAGAGAGAGAGAGAGAGAGAGAGAGCGCGGACTTTCCTAACCATAAGGTCTTAAAGAAGTTTAGTTCAAATAAATTCAATACATTTCTACAAAATAAACTATTTTAAAATATACTAGACTTTAAAAAAGTAACAAATTTAGCATATATTTTTGATAAATAGTATACTTTTATATAATAAACACACTTTTAGTTATGTTTCTCTCGGTGTTCAGTATTGAGACTCAATATATTCAGCATTTTTATGTCCCATCGATCGCAACGATTGATATGAAGTATTGGTCTATGTTTTGTATGTCTTATATACTGTTTATTATATAATTTTAAAATGTTTTGTTGAGAGAGAGAGAGAGAGAGAGACCCAAGGAAACACGATTTTGACCTCCAGGGGTGCGCACCGGCGGTATAGACAAGTTATATAAGTTATATACAGTGGGAATACTTGTTGGCAACTTATAAAACACAATATAATAATATATGGTATTTATATAAGAAATTAGTTGCGTTTAAAATGTTAAGTTTTGAATTTGTATACGAATTGCATTATAAATTAGTTTGGAGAGAGAGAGAGAGAGAGAGAGAGAGAGAGAGCAAAAGTCAAATTCAATGTCATTTTGTTTCAGAGATTAAAGAAAGGGAGAGAAAGAATAATAAGAAATAAACTACTCATCAGATTATAAAATGATAAGAGAAATACATGTATAAAAAGTATAGACAACTATTGTCGAAATCATGAATGCTGCTTAGTTCCCGGTAGCGTTTTCTATGGGTAGACCCAGTTGTCTGTCATTTGGATGTCTATGTAAGACAACGGGTCTACCCATAGATTACAGTGCATTTCGCCCCTGAAATAATAGTACAAATGAAATGATAGTATAATTTCCCGATACGAACACATCGTTCGTCTCCCTAAACATGAGAGAGAGAGAGAGAGAGAGAGAGAGAGAGAGAGAGAAGATAAATGAGTAGTGAATTGTATTCAAACTTGAATTATATTTTTGAATGTCTTGCATGAATGCCGGTACTTGATTGGTGAAGGATCATGATGGTCCACATACAGATTACCAGTATATATAATACATTACATTACTGTATATTCTCTCGGATTGCATAATAAATGTGTATAACATTGTGTCTGATATATGATTTGATTGCACAGACAAATGGCATGAAAAAAAGCAAAACGCTTTATTGAAGTGCGAATTGAATGGCAAAAAATGCAATTTATCTGAATGTCAAACATTTGTATACTTTTGTATATAAAAAGCAACTTATATTTTATCATTTTTCTTATTGTATGAACTAATGTAGACTACTTACTGCCCGCTGATCATGGTGCTATCGGTGCCCAGTGCACCAAATGTACATACAATATAAATAATACCATTGACAGCCTATTAAACACCGGGATCTCCATCCGACCCCCCGATCCCCTCTCGGCCTCCTTTTTCTCTCTGTATTATACAATGTATTAAAATATTTTTGATTGTTTCGTAACGTCAGTCAAAAAATCGATGGTTTGCATCAAAATTATAGTCAAATGGCATTTATTTTTAGGCTATTTATTCAATGATATGTTTTATTTTATTGTAAATTATATGTTTAATACTTAATACCTATGCTTTATATTGTTTGAGATGTTTTACATATAGGAATCTCTGTATGTTTTTTATTGTTGTTGCCAATCTGCTCAGTGCCAGGTCACTTTGTGTTTACCCCCACCCCCCTCTCCACCTGTGTTTTATTTGCTTATATAATATGCATTTTAATACCCGGTTTTATACCTTGTTTTTATAGTCCAATACCCGCTAAATAATTGTTGTTTTGTAACATTTTAACAATTTTTATGGCAAATATCATGTAATTTATAACGGATTTGAATGGCATTCAATATAATGATAGTCACATTAACCAGTGTTTGAAAGGGTTTTATTAAATGAATTTTATTGTATTTTTTATAAACATTTATTATTTGGTGTTATGTCTGAAGAAAAACAGAAAATTCATGAAAGGGTTTCGTATAATATATTAATTATTTTCTGTATAAAAGTGTTAAATATATTTTTCTTGTGTTATATCTTAAGCCAAGAGTCTATGACTTTTCACATAACAATCGATAATAAATTTTGTGTTTATTTTTCTCGTTTATAATACAAGTGTTTAAAATCAGGAAAATAACAAAAACCACATAATA